TGCAGGGCGGGCCAGTCCTATATAGTGCTGGCCCGTCCAGGAGGCTGCTCTTGCCAATGCCTCAACGTGCCAGACCCTGGGGTTGAAGCTCAAATAAAGGTTGTCTTGGAAATAGGCCAGAAATGGCCTGAGCTAAAACCCTGGTCTGGTGCCTGAGTTTCGGGGCAGGCCGAACTCACGAGGGCCCGAAAATGGCCCTCAGTTTCAGGCTGAAAACACTCACGGCCGGAAAGGCCCTGATTTAGCCTGAAACGACACAGGGCCTGTAGGCCCTTGTTTTCAGGCTTTCGGGCTGAAACGACGCAGGGTCTGTAGGCCCTTGTTTTCAGGCTTTTGGCCTGAAAACGTCACGGGGTTGGAAATGGCCCGTGCAGCCTGTTGCAGGCGCAGCATGTAACACCCCCCCCTCCTTATGAAGTCAAGCCGGGGCGAGGGCGAAGCTGACGATCTGAAGGTGGAACGTGGATGCGGGCGAGACGTGGAGCCGAAGATACCGGCTTGACTTGTATCTTTCGTTCGTAGCGTGCGAGAACATCCGGAGCTGTGGCTTGGAGTTCCGCACGGGTTAACCAACCGTCAACTTTGTGAGTGCAATACGCAAAATGTACCAAGTACTCGGTTGGCCTGTTGCCTTAGCGTCGCTGGGAGATGATGTCGTCGACCTCTTGAAAACCGTCCGTAGAGGGTGGGTCTTGCGATCGTCGCCCGGGAAAATTGTCATATTCCGCTCGCGTGTAGAGAGCCAATTTGGAGCAATGAAAGACCAGGTAGACGGGCAAGTGGGCGGGCACCTCAATGGTGAAGGAAGGTCCCTCAGGTGCATCCCCAGCGGATGCCACGATCGGCCAAGGCCCCATCCATTTCGGGAGGAGCTTGCGAGAGATATCTTGTTCAAGGCTGAATTCCGCAGTGGAAACCCAAATGAGATCGCCGGCGCGGAGTGGGCAAGGAAGACGCTGGCGATTGGCCTGTTGGCTCATGCGTTGCTGCGTCTTGGCCATCTGGTCGCATGCCTTGACAAGTAGCTCTTGCATCCGACGCAAGAAAAAAAGATGCTCGTCACTCTCGACCGTTCGTGGAATGATACGGAGAAGTGACCAGCAAGCCGTGCTCGAACTCGAAGGGCGACATCCCGATAGCCGGGTGGATGGACGAGTTGTATGCCAACTCGACATCCGGCAGTCGCTCAACCCAATCCTTTTGGTCGGGACGGATGAGAGTGCGAAAGAGAACCTGTGCATCTGATGCGCCCTCTCCGTTTGGCCGTCGGTTTGGGGGTGGCGAGCCGAACTTGGCTTGAGAGATGAGCCACATCGTTTGATGAGCGCCAACCAAAAATCGAACATGAACCCAGTGTCGCGGTCGCAAACGATTTCCTTGGGGTAACCCTTGGTTCGAATCCAACCGACGTAAAGAACCTCGGCCAACTCCGGTGCCTTGGCATGATAGCGGCAAGGCAAAACCATGGTGAACTTGGTGAGTCGGCCGACCACCGTGAGAATCCCATCCACTCCGGTCTTGTGCTTGGGGAACGGGCCGGTAATGTCCATGGCAATCGCTTCCCTTCGCCGCAAGGGGACCAGTAACGGTCGCAACTCACCGTACGAACGATGATTGCGGGATTTGCAACGCCGGCAAACCTCGCATGACTCGCAATAGCATGTGACGTCGTCGAGAAGACCGGGCCACCAAAGGCTCTCGCGGAGTCGGCCAATCTTACGATTGACGCCAAAGTGTCCGGTGGCGGGAGGGTCGTGGAACTCACCAAGAAGCCGTGTGCGTAAGTGTAAATCTCGTGGCACACAAAGAAGATCCTTCCCTCGCAAGTGGACGTGCAAGTATCCCTCTTGGATCCGATAGTGTGATGGTGCCGGATTAGGAGAGGAATAATTTGCGTACTTGTCGCAAAACTCGGGGTCGACTTGGTAGCCGCGGATGAAGCTGTCCCGCAAGTTGTCGTTAATCTCGAAAGTCGAGTAGGCTGCGGTGCAATGGTCCGGACGTCGTGAAAGAGCATCCGCAAAACAGTTTGACTTGCCCGGAATGTGGTCGGRGAAAAAGTCAAACTGGTCGATGAAGGCCATCCAACGGGCAATGGTGCTATTGACCGTGTCTTGGGTCTTGTAGAAGACCAATGGATTGTTATCCGTTACCCATCGGAACTGCCGTCGACCGAGAAGAAAATGCCACCAGCGCTTGAGCGCATGTACGAAGGTCAATAATTCCTTCTTCCGTGCGTTGTCAATTGAGTGCACTGCGGGCACTTTCTTGCTAGACTACTCGATCGGGACCTAGTCCACACCGTCATGTTGCTCGAGGACGGCACCAATGCCATAGCCGGACGCATCGGTCGTGACACGTGTCGGCAAAAGCGGATCAGAGATACGCAACACCTCTGCGGATAGCAATGCGGCTTTGAGAGCCAAAATGAAGTTCACGCATGGTCGTCGAAGGCGAATGGCCAGTCCTCGCATTGAAGCTTGGATAAAGGAGCCGTGATCTTCGAGTATCCCTTGATGAAGCGTTGATAGTAGCCCGCTAAGCCAAGGAAGGAACGAACATTTGTGACGGTCTTCGGTTCCGGCCACTCTTGGATGGCTTGAATCTTGTCCGACAACGGACTGATGCCCTCCGGTGTGACAAAATGGCCCAAGTATTCCAGCTCTTGCCGAACAAATTCGCACTTGTCACGGTTGGCTTTGTACTTGGCGCGGCGGAGCGTTTCCAACACTCGTCGAAGGTGCTCAAGATGATCCTCCAATGTCCGGCTATAGACGAGGATGTCGTCTAAGTAGACTAGTACGAACCGGTCCAGCATTGCACGAAACTCATTGGTCATTGCCTCTTGAAAGGTCGCCGGGGCAATTGGTGAGGCCAAAAGGCATAACGATCCACTCAAAATGCTCGTACTGCGTCTTGAACGCGGATTTGTAGCAATCTTGCGGGCGTATCGAGATTTGATGGTAGCCCGACTTCAAGTCCAACTTTGAGAAGAATTTTGCGCCGCCCAAACGCTCGAGAAGGTCGTCAATCGCGGAAGAGGTCCCGCATTCTTGACGGTTTGTGCGTTGAGCTTGCGGTAGTCGATGCTCAAGCGAAGATCCTTGTTCTTCTTCCGTACGAAGAGAACTGGCGCACCATATGGTGAGCTGCTAGGGCGGATCCAACCCTTGTCCAAACGATCGTCGAGTTGAGCGCGGAGAACCTCGAGCTCTTCCTCACTCATGCGATAGATGCATCCTTTCGGCGGCACGGCACCAGCCTCAAGAATGATCTCGTGGGAGATCGGCCGCTCTGGCACCACACCGGTAGGAGACTCGAAGATGTTGGTGAACTCGTCGAGCAGCCGCACCACTCGAGGGTCCGAAGACAAGTCCGTAGGTGAAGATTCGGTCGTCGCGGCGGCTCGTAGAAAACATAGGTCTATCTCGTCGGTCCGCTCATAAGCGCAAGTGGCCCGAAAAGACTTCGCCGTTACAACTTGGCACCGGATCGAGGAGTGCGAAAGAGGAATGGTACATGGCACCTCGGTGCCGAAGACGTCGCGAACGGTAAGTGTTCGATGATGGAAGTTTACCGTGTGATCCGCACTTGCAAGCCAAGGCATGCCCAAAATAATGCCGAAGTCTGTGTCCAAGACGTCAAACGTCACCGGTTCGCATGCACGAGGTGCAAAATAAACCGGCACGGCTGGAATCTGGCGATCGAGGAGTTGTTGCGTCCGACCGTCCGCCAACTTGATCGCCGTCGGGTTTGGCTTCCCTCGAACTTGTGCGCTAAGGCCGGCCCTTTGGATAAAGGACTGGCTGATGAAATTGCGAGTCGCACCGCTATCCAGCAAAGCGCTGCAGGACGCTTGCCCAACTTGGATGCGGACATAAAGGAGCGGTTCGTTGTTATCATCGTACCGCTGCATGCGAAACTCGCAGGCCACCTTGGTAACATACACAAGGATGTCCCCCACCGCAGCTTCGTCATCCGTCGGTGAAGATGGTGGTGCATAGAAGACTAAGTATGTGTGGAGATGGGCGCATAGTGTTGCGCATTGCGGTCCCAGCAAGCAGCCTGTGGAAGGGAGAGGAAGCCATGCAAAGTCCTCAAACGTCAACGGGTCCAAGACCTCTATGTTGAACTCGTGCATCGAATCCCTTGAAGAGTCACTTGAAGACTATCTATTGTTGCTGTTGCCAGACGGAGAAGAAGCCGCACAAACATCTTGTTCTTGAGCTTGAGAACCCAGCGAAGGAACGGGCCGGGCAACATAGTCCTCATAAGAATACAAGAGAGGACTGTCGACTTCCCCATGTGCCTCCGAATGAAGAGAGGTCACTCGCGAAGCAACCGATTCCGAAGGCATCGAGAGTGCAGCCGCATCACTCTCGGCGGTGCTCACTTACCCGACGGGAATTTGCCTTTGACTGGCGTGGGGCACGTTGCGGTGTCGTGCACCACGCTGTTGCACCACAAGCAGTATCGGTACTTAGAACGGATGCGGTACACGCCTTCCAAGATACCATAATGTGTCCAAGGCTCTTGAGCCGCTGGTCCGGCCCCGGGGCTGAATTGGTGTGGGTCTTCGGTTTGCCGCGTCCTTGCCCTTTGGTGGGGTGGCCACCATCCCGGGCGGCTGCCAATCTGTCTCCTTCCTCAGAAGAGGCAGCCTCGTTTGAAGGGTCGATCGCTGTAGTTGCTGCGACCACGACCACTTTCGGTCAATGCTGTCCTCTACCCTGGCCTGCAGCAGACGAATGGCCCAAATTCTTGGCTTCGCCGTTCGTCACGATGATCTGCGAGGCTTTATCAAAAAGCTGCTCACTTGTGGTGAGCATCTCCGCAACTTGCGTCAAGGCGTTCTGCAACGCCGGGCAGCTCGTCCTGATGAAGAAGTGCTTGATAGCGACAAATGTCGACGACAAGTTGGGCGCGGATGCCCAGCGTTGGTACTCGGTGATCCAGTCCGTGCTTGGCAGGTCATTCTGATAGAACCGTTGAAGTTTCTCGGCTGCCTGAAGCTCGGGCCGCTCCACTTGGAACCGCTTATGCCATGCTGCCTTGAGATCAGCCCAGCTGATCTTCGTATGCAGCTCGGAGACTGCGACGTTGTGCGTGGACAACATGTTGTCCAGCCATGCCTGGCACGCGCCTCTCGAGCGGGAGCATAAGTATGCGTAATCCCCCTCATCCCTTTTGTTTGGGCTTCTTATCCCTCTCCGCATTGCCATCTCCATCTCCTCCTCAATCTGATTTATCTTCAACTCTCCCTTCACTGTGCTTGTCAGGTCCTCTTTTATTCCCTCAAAGAGTTTCAACAGTGTGCTCCGTTTACTTAATCACGATATTCTAGAGGCTGGTCTCCATGGCTTTCTGATGATCTTGATGTGACCATTTGAGGCAGGCAATATGTGCTAGGCGTCTTCCGTACTACTAGTCGTTCTCAAGAAGGCCGTACCAGCTACAATAGCAAAGTCAAGGCCTCCTCCTCCACTTGCATGCACGTGGCCAGAAGCTTATGTCAGTAAGTGCCTTGGTTTCCTCCTCCACATAAGCGGTTAACAGGGACCCCCACTTTTCAACCCTGAAAAGTGCGTTGGACTCGGTTGGAGATCATTATTTTCAGCTTTTTCTGTTTTTTTAAAGGCTGCCCGAGAACGGAGAAAGGAGAGCGAACATTGGATCGCTGTCCATGGCACTCAATGAGACAATCGTCAGTGAAAGGGTTGACGCTGTTCCACTACCGGACTCTACTTAGACTCTCTTTCTTACTGACGGACTATGATATCAACCCGGGCTTGCCAACAGCCAATTTTAGGACAGGCCGTTAGTTCTCAGGAATTCTTTGAATGTGGTAAGCAAGACGATGTGGCAGTCGGATGATACCCAATTTACCCAAACAGGCTCTCAAGGAGACCGGGCCCTACGACCGCAAGGACCCTCAAAGTGAAGGACTTGGTCAACCCCCACACACGAATGTCAGCTTACATCTCCAGCAGTTAGCCACGCCATGTCTGCCATCTCAGAGGCCAATAGAAGGGCTATTTTGCGAGCTCCCTTTCATTTGGCCAATTCTGTCACTGCAGCTTCGGATTGTGAGCGGATTGTGAGCGAGAAGTCAACCTATAGGACTAGTCTCTTCAAGTTCACTGCAGGCTGGTCAGCACCAGTCCTTGGGGCTAGACAGGCTGGTCACATCGGTCTGTCTCCTCGAGTTCACCGCAGGCTGGTCACCAGTCCTTGGGGATAGACAGGTTGTTTAACAAGCGCCCACCTTTCATGCCCGTGCAGCTGCTGCAACCTGAGATTGCTCGCACAAAGTCAACCTACCTACCTACAACAAGATCTGAGCTTGAGGGCCAAAGTGGGAATTAGGAATTCCTTAATGATGCAGCAGAACGTTGTGACCAATCCGGCAAAGTCTTCAACATGCACACCCTATCTTCCCGTCAACTTTGACTAAACTATTGACCAAGCAAAGACCAGTGAAATCCAGCATCGAAGACACAACATGCATGCATGCGAAGCTTGGGTTAACGGTGGCCCTTCATTTCTGGTTCACTCGCACAACCACTCCAGCATATTCCCCAGGTAAGAATCTGTCCTTCGCTAGACCTCTTCTTCATCGGGCGACCTTCAACTACCTCATACAACACTGATCTCCTGCTCGCCGCTCAGCGCCCTTTCCATCTGCTGCCAGTCGATAGAAAACGCTCTTGTGCCCATAGGATCACAAATGAAGACAATTTATTTTTATAATTACTTCGCCAGATTACGGAATACATATGTATATGACCTTTTTTTATATATATAGAAAATTCCACCCGCCACAACAGGTAGAATTGATGGTAAGAGCATACACTCCTACCTATCTTGCAGGGGGCTCCAGTCTATTGGTGGGGAGCTACACCTGCTGGAAAGCGGGTCCAGCGTCCCCTGGGATACAAAATTAAAATGGTAAATCAGCACGTGCTGGGAACTGGGCCCAGCGTCTCTCATGGAGTTGTAGACACTACTGATTCTACTGATGATGATGAACTGGAGATGATGACATTGATGATACTAATGCCCGATGATCTATAGAGATCCATATACTACATCAGCAAAACCTGGCTCCACATCCATGATCAACTCCGACCGTTCCCTCTATAGCCCCCCCCCAGTTCGCCACTGGATTGCCTTCCTCCTTCGATGAATCCCCAGATCTCTCTACCAGGCCTCACGCTCCTGCTACAAACACGTCACAGGACATTCGCCCCAGCACTGGACAGCGTCGTTCTGGCATCGGCAAACCAGGAGCACAAAACACCACTGCTTTGCCTAGCATCACCAGGATTCTAACTATCCTTGAAATCCTGTGTCCTATGCGAGCAGGAAGCCGGTCGTCGCCTGGGCTTGGAATAAAGCCAGATAGGACCTCCGTGAGAGCTGTATGCGAGGGAACTTGCACATGCGGTTCAGGAAAGGCTCTCTGATGCCTATCTATGTATGAAGGCGTCAGTTATGCTATTTCACTCAAAGACTAAGTAGGTTGGGTAGACTTTGCAATATTTTTGTCCATTTTTGTTTTTTATGCACCTAACGGACACAGCCTAATCAGTAATGTACTATGCAGGGCCTGGATCTTTAGAGGCAGCTGTCTGTCTCCCAGTCCCTTACATAGCGCAGTCAGTATGACAGTCAATAACACAGAGGTTGTGGAGGCCGATGAAGTACCTGCGATGGTAAATGGCAAGAAGGTTCAGTGAAAGGAAAGGAGCATGGCTGGGTGTTGCAAGAAATAAGGCCTGCTACATCTCTTTTCAGGAAAAGGAGACATGCTACCAGCAACCATGAGTCCTGGGGCACGTCTGGAGAATCAAAACTAGATCATATGAAGTCAATTGATCAAGCCACGCATCAGAAAAGAAATAATACTTGATGCAAAGACAACACTCCAAATCACTCCACAACACAGAGGTCCATGAAAACTGAGCTTGAGAGCTTAGTTGAGGTGCATGGCGTGTGCCAACGCCGGGCCCATGCAGCGCACGGCCGAAATTCAGGGTTCCCCGGACAAAAAAAGGGTTGGGGGGGGGATCACCCCTCTGCCCTTCACTAAAAGAGAGGTCTCTCTTTACATGAGGCCATTCCGTTCGGAGATGTGACTCAACGTCGCCGCCCTTTGTTTTGTCTTCCTTTTCTTTTCTTTTTTTTGGGTTGTCTGCGTGCACCAGGGAAGTAACGCACCTCACTGCACACTGTGCCTATGGACGTGGTACACGCTCATCACCGATCTGCGCACCCTGCACTGCGGGACCACACTGGTGCGATGCAAATATGCTTGAAGAGTCAAAAGCCAAGGCAAGCTTATCAACTTCCAGGCATTATGCTGGGATTGGAGGTGGTCTAGGTGTATGAGGATGTTTTGGAACCTTGAATTGTCCTTCCATGATCACTGAACTCGACGACAATCAAATTTCTGTCAATGCCATTTGCGGTTCTTTGTGATTTCAAACTTCTCTGATGTGTTTCTCTCCAGCTATACTGATATTTTAAGTTGATGACACACACAATGCAGAAAATACCTCTGAGTATTACGATCACAGCAGGACAACGAAAAAGGGAAAACTGAGCCAATCATGCAGATGGAGTCTCGTTTGAAACTCAGGAATCTCACATGAAGGAAAAACGGAGCATTGAACATGTTGAGGACGATTTCACGCAAACCTGGTCTGCATGTCTTTATGTTGTGCATGAGACCAAGGTTTGTTTGTGTGTTTGAGCGTGTGCATTGTTTGCCCATTTTTTGCACTGCATACCACAAGCGTCAGCTTATCTGTCAAGGAGAATGAATGCAAATCAAAAGCTATGTAACAGGTCAAGGTATATGAGAATCACCGATAACGTACAAAACAACTATTGCAAGGCCATCCGAGGCATTCCTTTCACGAGGTTCACATTGTATGATGTTTGGAGTGTATGCGCACGGATCTCCCAGCAGTGGATAATCTGCAAGTCTCAGCTCCTGCGCAGCTTCCCTGAGTGCAGCCTCTGTTTTCCAGAGAAAATCAGGCCACCAAACAAAGGTCAGTCGACATTTATCAGAAAGGCTAAAAGAGGCCAGGAACTCTGTACTCAGGGTGAATGAATTCCTTAGAAACCGTTTGCGAATTTATGCTCTGTGACATTTTGTGCTTCCATTGCCTGTATCATTCTTGACAGTTGATTCTCTAAAGCAAACAAGCATCATAGCTGTACGATACTTCAATTTTCTTCATCACTTCCACACTGTCCAAAGCAAACGACCATCATAACCAAACGACATTTCAATTTTCTTCAGCACTTTTTCTCCTCTTCTTTTCTCTCCTTTCCTCTTCTCTTCTCCTCTTTTCCTCCTCTACTTTCCTCTTCTCTCCTCTCTTCTTCTAGCCTCCTCTTCTCCCCTCTTTTTTCCTCTCCTCTCCTCTTCTGTTTTCCTGCCTTGCTCTGCTCTGTTACTCTCCTCTCCTCCCTTCTATTCCCTTCTGATGTTTTCTTTTCTTTTCTTTTCTCTTCTGATGTTTCCTTTCCTTCCTTTCCTTTCCTTTCCTCTCCACTCCTCTCCTTTCCTGTGTTTCCTTTCCTTTCCTTTCCTATGTCTATATCTTATCTTACCTTATCTTATCCTATCTGAATGTGTCCCGTCCTCTCCTCCTGTCCTCTCCTGCCCTCTCCTTCCCTCTCCTGTCCTCTCCTCCCCTCTCCTTCCCTCTCCTGTCCTCTCCTCCCCTTTCCTCTCCCTCTCCTGTCCTCTCCTCTCCAATCCTGTCCTCTCGTCTCCCATCCCATCTCATCCCCTCCCATCCCCTCATATCCCCTCCCCTCCCATCCTCTGCCCTCCTCCTCTCCTCTCCTCTCCTCTCCCGTCCTGTCCTCTCCTGTCCTCGCCCGTCCTCTCCTGCCCTGTCCTGTCCTACCCTGCCCTACCCTACCCCTTCCCTTGCCTTGCCTGCACTTGCCTTCCTTGCCCTTGCCTGCCTCGCTGCGCCCCGCTCCACCCCACACTGCCTGTCCCTGT